TTCTGCTGACTTATTGAGACAGGGACCATGGGCTTAGACCAAATTTGGTGAGGGCCTCCGGAAAAAGCAAGGCAACATATTTACAGTCAGAGCAATGTAACAACATGCAAGGAAACCTCCTGCCAAAATTCTGAGTTAAACATTAAGCTCTAGAGTCATTCTTCAGTGACATCAGTTGATACTCCCCAGATAAAGGAAAGTAGCCATGTTTTTATTATGCTGATAATTTGTAATAATGTGTAAGATTCACTTTAGCATGATAAAAGGGGTTTAATATCTCATCAAGGACAAACATCCTAAGGCCACTTTTAACAAATCCACACCCTAAACCTTTTATCAGTTACCAAAAATCCTCAACTGCCTATAAATCCCCTAGACAAAGCACCACCCTGGGCTCTCTTGTCCCCTCCTGGCATGAGCCAGGAGCTCTTTCCTCTCACTTTATTTCTAAATAAAAGCCTCTACCCTGGCTCTCCTACCTTGGGTGTTTGCTAAATTCATTCTTGGACTCCACAAACAAGAACCCTGGCATCATTTTCAAGTTGCCCAGTCCAATGTTTTTTGGTCCAGTTCAAACAAAGGCTGGTAAGGCGAATTCTTTCCAGTGTACACTCTTGATTCCATTTAAAAATGGCTCTAATGACATCAATTTTTCATACTTTTCCCAAGGATGAATTTATGTCTCCATTGAAAGGGTATCTTGCTGCAACCCTGCTTACCTCAGAACTACTCAGGAGACACGGGCCCACACAAGATTTTATTATCTGAAAGAGAAAATGGCTGCTCCCAGAGAGAGGGAGCAGCAGCTTGTGGGAGAGGAAGTGCATTTTTAAGGAGTAGGGGTAGGGTGTGTTCTGCATTGGTGATTGGATCTTAAGGGGTGGGTGACCATCTGGTTGGTGGTGATTGGATCTTAAGTGGTAGGGTCTTAGCATGCCAGAATTTGCCTTCATTCCCATCTTTTTCTTTTCTTAATTGGGCCTCTGGAGAACTGGGCATAGAATCTCATTCTCTACCTACTTCTTGCTGGAAGGGGGTGCAGATTCTGGGGTTAGCGAGGCCATTACTGTAGAGTTTGGGAAGGGTGGGCATCTTGAGATGATTCATGATGTCATCTAGCTGTTTTCGTTATTCTTCATGAGAAGGCTTTATAGCCCTGGAGGAGTAACTGTTTGACAGTATGGTTAGAAATTTTCAAAATTTGACTTTGAATGAATTTTTGGAATAGGTTAATGAAGCAGGGAAGGTAAAGGAGAATAATAATAAAAAAGGTAATAGGGACTAGGAAGGGCAGGAGCCAATTGAAGGGGTAAGAGAACGGATTGTTAAGGGAGTTTTCTAGGCATTTGGAGGCTTGTTTGTGGAAGCGTTTTGTCCCATCCTGGATGAGACCAGATTTGTTAGTGTAGAAGCAGCATTGTTCTTGGAGTAGGGCACATATGCCCCCTTATGCAGCTGTAAGGAGGTCCTATTTGGGTTTTAGAGTAGATTACTGGAGGATTTGTAATCTGTGGAGTTAAAGGTGTAAGTGGTCCCATTGGGATGGAGGAGAATTGTCAAGAATGTATTTTTGAGGTCAAGGATGGAGAAGTAAGTAGAAGAGGTGGGGATATAGTGGATAATAAAGTATAGGGGTTAGGGACTACTGGATGGATTGGAATAACAGCTGCACTGATAATTGTTAAATCTTGAACTAGCCTATAAGAGCCATTAGGTTTTTTGATAGCCAGTATCAGGGTGTTGTAAAAGGAATTGTCTGGTCTCAAAAGGCCCTTTTGTAGAAGGGGTATTGAGATTGTGAGGGGAAGGAAGTACGGTCTTTGAGATTGATGGTTACGGATGGGGAGGTGGTGATAGAAGAGGTAGAGGTGTCCCAGACTATGGGGTTTACTTGGCAAGGGGGTAAGGGAAAAGGGGAGGGAGGTGGGTCTGGAATGGTGTGGAGAGCAAGTAGAAAAGAGATCGAAGGCAAGTCGGGGTTGAGGTGTGGGCCAAAGGTAAAGGAGATATGAGCCCCTAGCTTAGATAAAAGGTATTTTCCCATAAAGGGACCCGGACAATGGGGAATCACTTAAAAGGAATGAGAGTATGCCCTTAAAGAGACAGTGAAGCATGGGAGTTTGTAAAGGTTGATAAGGTGTGCCCTTTACCCCAACTAAAGAGGACTGTGAGAGGGAGGTATGTCCCCAAAACTCCTTCAGGACTGAGTAGGTGGCCCTGGTGTCCAAAAGGAAAGAGATGGGCCTACCCGCTACCACAATGGTTACCCTGGGCTCCTGTACACTGATGGTAGTGGTCAGGTGGAGGAGTCCTGGGCCCCCTCAATCATCAGTTGCCAGACCCAGAAAGTCTATGTGTAGAGTGTTAGAGCTGGATGGCCTGGCACCTCTTGGTGTGTGAGGACAGTCAACAGCCCAGTGTCCCTCCTGATGGCACTTAGGGCATGGACCAGGGGCTTCTGGGGATTTGGGCAGGCTCTAGCCCAATGACCCATTTGACCACATTTGAAGCATGGACCAGGAGGTCCTCCTGGCTGCTTCTTAGGAAGTGAGGATACCTGAGCACCAGTGGTGGGATAGGTTGAAAGGCCTTAGCCAGCATTTGATATTTTTGTTTATGGGCCTTTTCATCTCTTCATTACATACTTTGAAGACCACTGCCAGGACTTCTGCCTGAGGAGTTAAGGGTCCCTTCTCTAGACATTTAAGTTTAGCCTTAATGTCGGGGAAACTCAGTGAAGTAGGTCATTAATAATTGTCTCCCATCTGGGGTCTCAGGGTCTAGGTTTGTATATTGTAAAAGAGCTTTGGTGAGGTGATCTAGGAACATAAAGGGATTCTCATTTTTATCCTGAATAACCTCTTGGAGTTTTTCATAGTTAATGGCTTTATTGGCTGACTTCCTGAGACCCGCCACGAGGCAGGTGATGAAATGATTTTGACTGGTGACTCCCCCTGCTGTATTATCGTCCCAATTAGAGTCTTGGTCAGGAACTGCCTCAGCACCAACTGGATGAGCTGGAGTAGTTTGGTGAACCTCATCAGCATGAGTTCTAGCCTGTTCCCAGACTCACCTACGCTCCTTGGGCAAAAGTGTGTTGGATAGGATCATGTGAAAGCATGAAAGGTAAGATCATATGACTGAGTTAGGTACTGGAACTCTTTTATGTAAGTGGCTGAGTTGGAGGTGAAATAGCCTAATCTTTTCTCAATTTGAGATAGGTCAGAGAGAGAAAGGGACATGGACCCGGATGACCCCCTCTCTACAGGCTACTTCCTATAGTGTGGCTAGGATCTGGGTTAGAGAGCAAGTGACTGGAGGGCTTGGTGCAGGACTGGGTGAGGGAAGGGGAACTGGTTGTGGAGGAGGAAGAGGTGCTGTGGCTCCTGCAATGGCACTAGGGGAGCTGGGAGGATTGGGATTTTGATCTTGCAGAGAGGGAGGTTGGGGTGGGAGAGGAACTGGCAGTTGATGGGGAGCTGTAGGGGTTTGAGATTGGTAGGGAGGAGATTCATCATCAGGGTCAAAGTCAGAGGACATGGTGGGAATTGGTGGGTGGTGGGATGAAGTTTTTTAGAGTGAGGAGAAGATGTTTAGGATTGCAAGGAAGACAAAGAGTGGGCTTGAGTCAGAGGTAGGAGAAAGCCTGGATATATGGGATCTCTTTCCATTTGTCCGTGCACTCACAAAACTTATATAAGTCACAGAGAATTTTAGGATCTGAAGAGCCATTGAGAGGCCATTTAGACTGATTGTCCAAGAGATATTGTGGCAAGGACTTACAGTAGCAAACAAGCTTAAAAGGTTTGAGGTCTGGAGTGATGTAGAGGGGTTTTTAGATTATTGAGTAAGCACCCTAGTGGTGAATCTGCACGAATGGAGGGGCCAGATCCCATGGTGAGAATGAGACCATTCACAAGTCGCTGAGGCATCCCAGAGTGATTGAGAAGGTTGCAGAGAAGACCAGACACAGTTAGGGGGTCGTCACCAGCTCTAACCAAGTGGTTGAGGCAAAAACACTGAGGAGGCTCCGTACCTGGTACCAGGAGTTTACGAGTAGATAAAGGGAGACCGGGCCTCAGTGAATGAGGATTCTCACCATGGGGAGGCAGAGGAGGGTTGACTATGGGAATCAGCTGTGACTCTGAAAGTCAGAGTTGGGGGTGCCCCTGTCCCAGAGGAGCCCTTGGGGGTGCTGGACACTCAACAGTCACTTCCCAGGTTCCAAAGGGACATTTAAGTCAACCATGAAGAGGAGACTTATCAAATTGAAGGCCATAATTGGGTGAGAAGATGAGCGACCGGGGAAATGGGCAGTGAGCCCGTAGAGGAGGATCGGACAGTGAGGGTTCCCAGAGCAGCTCAGATTGCCGGAGGAAGAGCAGAGTCAATGGGAGAGCCTCATCCGAAGTCACGGCACCAATGAAAGGGTATCTTGCCGTGACCCTCCTTACCCAGGATGACTCAGGAGACATGGGCCCACGCAAGAGATTTTATTATCTGAAACAGAAAGTGGCTGCCCCCAGAGAGAGGGAGCAGCAGCTTGTGGGAGAGGAAGTGCGTTTTTAAGAAGTAGGGGTAGGGTGTGTTCTGTGTTGGTGATTGGATTTTAAGGGGTGGGCAACCATCTGGTCAGTGATGATTGGATCTTAAGGGGTAGGGGTCTTAGCGTGCCAGAATTTGCCTTCATCCATTTCATTTTTTTTTTGAGTAGATATCATCAAATACAGGTTTTATTATAATTAATAAAGTATATATATAATTTCTTTATTACTGGTAAGATCCTTAAAGGAATTGTTCTGTACCTCTCTGTATCCTCCAAGAATTAACATGGTGCCTTATAAATAGGTTAATGGTCACTGAATGTTAAAACATGTAAATTCATGTTCCAAAAAACTCCCAATGCGTCCTGCTGGCAACTAGGGACTATACATTCATTGTTTTGCATGATGATTTTAAGAAACCAGGTTAAAGATTTCATTGCAAAATTATCACACTAGTCAAGACAAAATGTCAGTATTATTCTGCTACTTCTTGAGAGATGATTATATGTGGAAATCAACCATAGACATTTGTAGATTTCTTTCCTGCATAAAATAATCTTATGTCGATGTGCATATGAGGGCATATTTTTGTAATAAACTTTCAGAAATATAAATTTCAACGTTTATTCAAATGAAATATAAACATTCCTTTTAAACAAGTACTTCTGCTTTTCACAATCTGTATTGGTCAGCTAGCGCTTCTGAAACAAAATAGCATAAACTGGGTGGCTTACACAACAGAAATTTATTTTCTCACAGTTCTGGAGGGTGAAAGTCCAAGATCAGAGTGTCAGCATGGCCAGTTTCTTGTGAGAGCTCTCTTCTTGGCTTCCTTCTAGCTGTGATGGGTGGAATGAGAGAGGAGAGAGGGAGGAAAGGAAGGAAGGAGACAGAGAGAAAGTGTTCTGTTATCACTTCTTTTAAGGGCACTAATTCCATCACAAGTGTCCCACCCCTATGATCTTATATAAAATGAATTACCTTGCAAAGGCCCCATTTCCAAATACTATCACTTTGGGTGTTAGGCATTCGACATGTGAAATTGCGGGAACATGCTTCAACCCATAGCAGAAGCTATCTTACAGAAATAAAAGCATCTATATTTAACCTTGTAGCTCAATGGGGAGAGGAAATCCCAGGGCAAAATACTTCTAAAAACCGAAATTAGTCAAAGGGAGAAATAAAGTTTAAAAACCATTTATTGCTTACAAACTACAGTCCAGGGCCCTCTCTCTCTGCTCCTGAGGAAGCAAGCAAGCAAATCAGCCCCTCCCTTTAAAATATCAGGTTCAGACACCAACTAGTTGCCCAGGTAATTACCCATTGATATGGAGATGAACGATCCACCCGTGAGGATATGCAAATGAACTAAATCCAGGCCAGATATTCTGGAAATGTTACAATTTTACTCACAGGGCACCCCTCCAGAAATCTCGCCTTACAATCTACTCATTTCCCCTTCTTCCACAATGGTCCCTGAGTGAGAAAACTGGAGCATTGTGACCAGATTAATGACATAACAATAGCAACAGCAATAAAATTATGACAATCTTTAAGCCTGAGGATTCAGCTAGGTTCAAAGTCCCATGAAGACTAAGTCCAGATCTGAGTGTTCAGAGGAATCATCATGCGGCAGTTGCAGTGAGGGGGCGCATTCAGGCCACAAGAACTGTAGAAGAAAATAACCTTAAGGATAAGGTACATGTTTTACTGACACTAGCAAATCTTGTTCGTCAGGTAGGACACATACAAGAGAGTGGTCTTATGATAAAAGTGGCAGGAATGGAATCTCGCCCTGGTCTAGTATAGCAGACTTTCAGCCCCCTCCCTGTGGGAGTTACAGATGGGTTGATATATAGGGCTACAGGAGGTCAGTAGCCACAGGATCAAACCGTGACAGATGGCCCAGCTGTCAGTGCAGACAACTATGGGGGAAGGCTCCTCGGTGATCACGAGCCATACTGCCTGCAACTCAGCCCACTGACTCTTTTTTCTCTCTCCATCCTCCATCCATATTGTTTCAGTCTTAGGATGGAAAGCCATAGCCCTCCACTTTGTGGGCTGCCCACAACTGGAGCCGTCTGTGTACCAAGCATCTTTGGGTATAGGGGCTTTTCCCTCCTGATGAAAAGTCTCAGCTATGAAGGGCTTAAAAGTAATTTCATCCTGCTTTCTACTGGTATAGGTCACTGGCCCCAAAAAGCATTGGAGTTCTCCACTTAAGGGGCTACTAGAGAGGGCACTATGCTGCTATAAATATGTGACCCCATTGGCCAGTGTAGGTGTCTGTGCCACACCACTCCATGGCCTTCAGGTCCAGTCTCGCACACACCCTGTGATGGGATAGGTGGTTATTACCTTAGTTGGAGCTCTTCCAGCAATGGCCTCCATATAGCCAGCAGTGTGGTACACAGCAGCCAGTTGCTTCTCTATCAAGGTGTACCAGACCTCTGCTCCTTTCCATAGTTGTGACCAGAACCCAATAGATTGGCATGTATCTGCATACTAAATTAGTTGCTCAGTTGCAAAATTACCTGGTCAGATCTGAAGGAGGAAAGACAGCAGATAGCCTTTTGGGCCTTTTAGTATGCGAAAGTGAATCTTATACATGATTACAAATGATTAGTATAAGAAAACATGTGCTACTCTTCTTTATCTGGGGAACATTAACTGATCTCACTGAAAAATGATTCTAGAGCTTAATGTTCAACATAGTTTTAATAGGGGGGATTTCCTAGCATGTAGTTACATTGCTCTGACTGCAAATATCCTGCCTTGCTTTTTCCAGAGGCTCTTACCCTATTCTGTTTAAGCCCATGGTCCCTCTCTCATTCCATCCTCTACAGATAGAGACCCTAGCTGCTGCTAGGGAAAGGGGGCTAGGACAGCTCTGGCTGCTTCATGCTGAGAGGGGGCGCAGTACAGGGTGCAGTTAGGTCTCCATCACTGTTCAGTTGAGAGAGCCTCGGAATATTGGCGCTTCTATTCTGGGTTCCATTTTTATAACTATTACTATTTGCAGTTTTATGGCTTCTAAGCAAGATAGAACAAGTTGTGTTATTAGGTTAAGTAGCAACATCTGGAGTTGGATTTTCCATTCTGGAAGGACAAACTTGACGAGATTAAGAATGCATGGTTGAATATGAGAACTAGAAATATGAAGATTCCAATTGAGAATCATAGCCAGAAATCATGGGGAAGCTATAATTCTGGGTTGAGTTTACATCTCAATGACTAGTATTAGGATTTAGTATAGATAAGACTGCATTATTGAAACAATACTTTTCTCTAGAATCACCCTCATTTTTATTAGAAGAAGCCAGATTTAATTAACAGTTGGTTTGATTATTTGCATAAGTGCAGCAAGAAGAGTAATTGATTACATAGCATCTTATAAATGTGCTTTGCTGGAACTTTTTATAAGTTTGGACTTTTAAAGGCTTCTTGAGGCCAGAAAGCCAAGCCTGACTTGCCATTAGGTTGTGCCTGCAGTACTTGTAGATTTGGGTGAATTCCTCTCTTCCTGAGGTTCCCAAGACATTCCTGAGGTTCCTGCACCTGCCAGGAAGTGAACTTCCTTACTCACCTCGTAAGGCTGCTGGGAACCCTGTAAGCAAGGTACAAGGCCAGTTCTTCTTCCAATGGGCTTTGTTAGCTATATAAAGTCAACCTTAGTTCCTTAAAGCTGTCTGTTCCTGTCTGAGTTTACATACGTGTCTCTCAGGTATAACATTCCAGTCGAAGCCTTGGTAATATAACCAGTGTTTTTTATTGGTCTTGTTACAAGGAAAGCAGATTCTTATTGAGCTTATGCAAATAAACATACTGCCATGAAATATAAAAAATACTGAAACTTTTTAAATTCTGGAGGGGTCCGATAGAAAGATAAATGTTTCAATTCTGCTTATAAAGGTATTATTATTTATTAAACTTTTCAGCTTAAGAGAAAAATCTTAAAACACTTTATCAACATTTGAAACAAAAAGCCAGAAAATCATTTTCTTTAGTTTACTTAATCTTATGTAACTAATACCTGCTCTGTTGAAATCTAGTTTTTACTAGTTTAGGATATTTGTTCTGCTGGAATTTAGTTTTTTATTAGTTTAAGAGTAATAAAACAGTGACTATAAGTGACAAAAGACTTACAAATGACAATGGTTAAAGATCTGATGAGAGCTTACTCTAAGACAGTTGACATAAGGAAATTCAGATATTTCTGTAACATAAGACACTCAGTAACAAAGTTTACTTCTCAGGTTCCAAAGGGACATTTAAGTCGACCATGAAGGGGAAACTCACCAAATTGAAGGCCGGTGTTGGGCAAAAAGACGGCCGGGGAAATGGATGGTGAGCTCATGGAGGAGGATCGGGCAGTGAGGGTTCCCAAAGCAGCTCAGGTTCCCGGAGGAAGAACAAAGTCAATGGGAGAGCCTCATCTGAGTCACAGTACCAAGGAAAGGGTATCTCGCCATGACCCTCCTTACCCAGGAGGACTCAGGAGACACGGGCCCACGCAAGAGATTTTATTATCTGAAAGAGAAAGTGGCTGCCCCCAGAGAGAGAGAGAGAGCAGCAGCATGGTATAGGGAGTTGTGCCTTTTATTGCGGTGGAGTACCGCTTGGCCTCTTGCCTTGGGGGAGGGTCAGAATGTTTAGAAATAAAGGTGGGGCAAGTTCAGGCATAATTCTCACTGGCTTCTGTGCTTGGAACCATGGGGTAAATGGAGGATAAATTACTATATTCTTGTATCACCCACCACGCACCACTAATCTCTGATCCAATATCTTTCAAGGGAAAGTGAGTGAAGACCTTCGGAGATAAGCAACAGAGCCAAACTAAAGGAGACACACCAGGTAACTCTTCAGGCAGAGCTTAAATGATCCCAAAGGAATGCGGAAAATGACAGATGGAACGAGGAGCAGTGGATAGATGAAATGTGTCGTTAAATCAAGTAAATGTTACTGTCTGAGCAATGATAATGCCTCTGATTTAAAATACAGGCTGAAATAAAATTAAGGCCAATAACTCAAAAATCAGGATGAGAGTGAATGGAATTAAGATGTTCCAGAGTTCTAGCATTGTCTAGGAAATATAAAAAGATCTAATTTATGAGAATCTTTTGCACAGATTTTATGGAATACAGAATATTTTACTGGGGCATAGAGATCTGCATATATCCCCCACAGTAAAACCAAGAGCTGAAACAATTATTATTTTTGAGGATTCTCTATTTTGAAAGAGAATTAACTTTATTTTTGCAGTTAAAAATGTAAATGTAAACAGTAGACAGTGAAATGTGATAAATGTATAAGCCCTTGTAACTATCAGTCAGACGAATGTATAGAATATTTCCGCCCATGTAGGAAGTTGCCCATCAGAATATCTCCAAGAGACACCGACTCTTCTCTTCTGATACTTTGTGCAAATGGAACCACAAAGGAGTATCAGACAGGTTCATTAACACAGATATGCTTTCAGTGTTCAAAATTAGTTTTTGAAAGACATCTTTGCAGAACATACTGTTTGGGGGGATTGTCCATGTGATTGCCTCATCCTTAGTTTGGTTGTGTTGGATTCCCCTGAGGAAGGCGCCGCCCCAAATCACTCACCAAAGACGTTTCTTGATGCAACAAGCAAGAGGAATTTATTCAGAAGCCAACTAGTTGGGGTCCAAGTCAGCCTGTCGCAGCGGGTCTCAACGAGGACCCTGAGCACTTACAACTAAGTGGTTATATAGGATTTTCTGAGGCATTCAGCCCTAGAGGATTACCATGGTTACAGATTGTTTTGTAATAACAAGACAACAATACTACATAGCAAGATAACAATACTACAAAGGCAGTAATTTTTCAAACCTACGATTTCTGGGTTAGTGCCACGTCCTGGGGGGGGGTGTAGCAAGGTAGGGTCGGCATTTATGATTAACTAACCGAGAGGTTAGCGCTGCCAGCAGTCATGATTGATTAACTTGTTTTTCCAGAGGAGTTACCTGGTTTCAGTTGTTCCCTCTGAGTCATATATCAGAATGGCTTTTTGGGCTTCAAGATGGCTACTCTTAGGCTAACTTATTTCTCAGGGAGGTTGGGGTCCTACAGTTGCTTTTACTGAGGACTGTTGATAGGCAAATACACAAAGATTTGCACATCACTTCTATTGAGGGACATTTGGGTTTTATCCAGTTTTTGCCAAGTATACATGGTTTGCTATGAACGTTTTTGTAGAAGCCTCTTTGGATGTATGCATTCGTTTTTCTTGGGAAGTAAGTAGAATATTACTAGGTAACAGGGTAGGTATGTTTTAACTTTATGTGGAACTGTCAAATATTAGGGAAGTGGGTGTGCTAAATTACATTCCAGTTTCTATCACACAGCGATGCCCTACACACTCTCACGGGGGAAAGTGAGAGAAAAGGACTTAAAAAAATCTATTTTTCTAGGTATTCCGTCCTCACCTCGTTCTAAATACCTACTTGCATATGTTAGGTATTGCTGGTGGCTGTGGTCACACCCAAGGCGTCACCACCATCCTGCTCAGATCTGGCAGCAGAGACCCTAGACAGGCTCTCCAAGGCAGCCCATCCAAGTCTCAGACTCATAAAGGCCAGGTAGGAATAGATGCCCGTGAAATAAGGAGGGGTGACCCGGTCATGGCTGTGCCACACTTAAGCTCTGGGTCACTAAAGTGGGTTTCTTGCACTTGCTCTCCACCCCTCCATTATACGGCCTGGATTTTAATGGACTCTCGGATAGTGCTGGGAGGGGAGAGCCCGCAGGACAGGCACATTGAAGCAGAGCGGAGTGCGGGGAACGCGGGTCCGACTGCTCCTGGGTGGGTTACGTTTGCCGAGGGTGCAGTGCTCCGACCACCGCCGCCGGAAAAGGGGCCCATGCGGCGTCCCCAGAGGGGGTCGCCGGGGCTCAAACATACCCAACCCGCTGGCTCCTGAAGCCTCCGCGAGCGGGAACTTCTCGGGAGCCGTAGTCTCCTCGCCCGAGTGATCGCTGGTGCTTCCAGGGCCTTTTGCAGTTAAACAAGGGGGTAGCCAGAACCCTTGCAGCGCCACCTAAGACTCCAGGACCGACGGTTAGAGACCGAGGCCTGTCCCGTTTCTGTAGCGTAGCGGTTACCACGTTCGCCTCACAGGCTCAAAAGTCCCCATTTCGAAACCGTGAGGAAACAGCCTCCTTTTCCTGACGCTGACGTTCACCTTTAAAGCACAGAGAGCGGGTCGCCAACAAGAGCCCTGCGGAGCGGAGCTGTGTTTTCTATCCACAAGCAGTGCGCAGTGGGTGGACTTTCATTGCTACCTGACAGCTCACTGAGCCCTTTGTTCGCTCTCGCTCACACGGCCAACCAGGCTACCGCCACCGACGAGTCGGCTGCGGTTGCCCTTCAGATCCAGAAATGCCCCCGCCGTCTCATGCAGCGCCCAAACCTTCTCCACAGGCCCCCAGGTATTATGGCTCTGTAAAACAACAGGTTCTTCCCTCTGAAGCACACTTGGCTTTCCCCTACCCCAGCGCACTTGCTGAACAACTGAGTTTGCGAGAACAGAACCAAAGAAAACGGACCTAAGGCAGAACCTGGGGCTCTAGCCAAAGACACGCGCAGGAAGACTTTCGTGCTCCACTCTGAGCCGGCAGGGCCCCGTAAAGGCGCCCAAACGAGTGCCCTTCTCTGGGGAGCCCCTTGAGCTAGCTCGGAGGTCAGGAAGGACACGAGCCCCGTCCTCACCTTCCTCCTGAGGAAACCCAGGTTCAGAGAGAGCACGCGTCCGTGCCTCCGTGGCACACGGCGATAGAGCCAGACTATAATGGCACACAGGCCAGTCACCTGGTGGCCTGGCCTCCAGCCCAGAGTCTCCCAAGGCTGGGAGAGGTGACAGGTGAAGTGCAGCTGATGAAGCCACTGGTCTCTAAGCCTTCTCCGTTCTGCCCAGGAACCTAACGTCTCCC